CTAAACCCTGGATCAAGCTGGAATTCGGTCACGCAGCCTCGCGTCATCCGTCCAGGATCCAGAGCTAGGTCAGGCGCTGCTGCCTCGGCTTAGCAGCTTCCAGGGGGAGCCAGGCAGGGCGGGTTTGTCATCTGATGGGGCTTAATCCAAGCCTCACTGCTAACTCAACCCCAGCCTTCCCTACGTGATGTTTGCCTTTGTGCATGGTTTCCCATTAGTCATTGGCCTTCAACCAGACCGGCAGGATGAGATTTCTATGTGAACCTGTGTATGTTAATGAAAGCATGCATTTATTTTCCTGCATGAGTAATGCACGGGGGAGGCTGTGTATGAATGCATAAACATGTTTGTGAGTCTGTGTTTATGAGTATCATATGTGTCTGTGTGAGTTTATGAGTATGGGAGCTAGCATCTATTTTCATATATTGTGTCTTAATAATCTGTGCATGTGTACTGGTGTGTGTTTATGTATATTTTCTGTGTTTTTACATTTGTGGTTATCTTCGGGTGTGTCTTGATAGGTCTATGTATATAAGACAGTGGGAATGAGGGAGAATGTGTTCTGGCTTCAGGACCAATATCTAGCAAGCACTAACCAAAGTTCTATTTTTACTTTGCTTTGGGAGAGTGGACAGGTCATGCCAGTCCCCCATATTCCCTTGCCCATTGTCCCTGGCTCTTCAAACCCCAACCAAAATGCGACATTCTCTAAAAGACATTCCTGGATTTGAGTGGGAATTAATCTCTCCTTCCTCATTTCCCCACCATCCTTTGTTTATGCTTTGATTACAACCCTGATCTACCAATCTACCTCTCCCTTGCCTTTTCCTAAAAGAATTAAGGATGGCTTTCAGAAATACATACAATGGGATAAATCGAATTGCCCACATGGCTTTACTACTTCTCCTGGGCATGCATCTGCCTTCATGCTAGAACTTGTTATTTATGTGTCTGTCTCTTCCATCAGATATTCTCCCTGTTCTTAGTAGCAGGGGCAATGCTTGTAAGTGCTAATCCATGCTGGTTAAATTGAATTAAGTTGAAGTCTTGTAGTGTTCATGGGAAGAGCTTGTGTCTTTAGAGTCAGACAGACTTGGGTCATGACTGCCAGCTGTATGACCTTGGAGGAAACCTTTCACCTCTCTGAGACTGTTTTCTTTTTTTTTTTTTTTTTTTTTTGAGTCTGCATTTTGCCCTTGTTGCCCAAGCTGGAGTGCAATGGCACCCTCTTGGCTCACTGCAACCTCTGCTTCCCAGGTTCAATCGATTCTCCTGCCTCAGCCTCCCGAGTAGCTGGGATTACAGGCACCTGCCACCATGCCCAGCTAATTCTTATATTTTTAGTAGAGATGGGATTTCATCACATTGGCCAGGCTGGTCTCAAACTCCTGAGCTCAGGTGATCCTCCCTCCTCAACCTCCCAAAGTGCTGGGATTACAGACGTGAGCCACTGGGTCAGGCCAGTTTTCTCATCTATTAAATAGGGCCAGTAAATCGTCTCTCATTTGTTGAGCTGAGGATTGAGGAGAATGTTTTCACAGAGCCTGGCATACAGACGGTACTCAATCCATGTAGGTTCATATTTTAGTTATACCATTGCTAACTTTGAGCCTTGTTGGCTGAAGGACCAGAGCAGAAACCCCCGCCCCATAAGTTCCCCATCAGGTGACACGGCCTGACAGTTGCCCTACCTGATATTTCCAAATGATATCTGAAATATGCTGGGCTGGCCCTGAGCTTTGCTGTATCACAGGTTCTCTGGCAAGGGGGAAAAAGCTGATGCAGCTTCTTGGCTCGGAGAACCATAGAGCAAATGACTAGGAGAACTCGTCGAGTGATCCAGGTCAGCTCTCTGCCTTAGGCAAGGATCATCCATGCAGCGGCTTTTAAGATGGGATAATTAGCCTGTAGTATGTATAGAAAATATTAAATTTTTGACAGATGTTAATAATTTAAATGTATTAATGTTAATTCATTAAACATTTAATTCTTAAATCTCTTTAATCTTAAATCTTCCTTAATCTGTAAACTACAAGATGATTTTCTTAGGAATTATGTTTTACTTTGTGTTTAAAAATTGGAAACACCTTACATATCTGACACCAGAGGAAGGTATTATTATACCCATTAAATTTAATCATATAAAGTCATTGTAAGTGTAGCTATGAAAACAGTAGGAAATATTAATAGTAAACAATTGAGCTCATAGTCTATGCTAGACATTATACTAAGAGCTACATATGAATGATTTTGTTTAATCCTAAGAACCCCAGGAAGTAGGTACTATTATGTCTTAGTCCCTTTGGGCTGCCGCAACAAAGTCCTGTAGATTGTGGCTTGTAGACAACAAAAAATGTATCTCTCCCAGTTCTGGTGCCTGGGATGTCCAAGATCAAGGCACCACCAGACTCAGTGAGCTCCCTGGGTGTTCTTTAAAAGGACACTAATTCTATTCATGATGGCTCAGCCTTCATGACCTAATCACCTCCCAAAGGCTTCCAAATACTTTCACATGGAGAGTTTGGATTTCAACCTATGACTTTTAGAGGGACACAAACATTCAGTCTATAGCTATAATTATCTGCATTTTAAAGATAAGGAAACTAGGACACAAGTTAAGCAACTTGCCCATGGTCACTTGGTAAATAATAGAGCCAGAAATCAAACTGAGGCTGGCTGGCTCCCACTGCCACCCTTAACTCTAAAGGGAAAATACTTACAATGGAAAGAAGAAAAGAAAAATTATAGCTGTCACACTGTGTAACAGAACATTGACTGGCACTTTTCCTATTGCCCCAGAACTGTAGCTAAGGCCTAGGCTCTAAAAAGCTGTCAACCCACCCATGAGACCTGGAGCCAAAGGCCTAAGGACCACAGAACAGCAGGGGTCAGAGAGGGCCTTTTTAGCCTATGTGTAGCCTGACTTTTCTCCTGTCTTCTCATGGGAAGAGCTTGTGTCTTGGTAGAGTCAGACAGACTTGGGTCATGACTGCCAACTGTATGACCTTGGAGGAAACCTTTCACCTCTCTGAGCCTCAGTTTTCTTATCTTTCTTATCTTTTCTCCTCGGGCCCCATCTGATTTCTCATTTTATAGTCAGTACCTAGCACAGTGTCAAATACACAGAAATGGCTCAAGAATTGTCTGTGAGCTGGGTGCAGTGGCTCATGCCTATAATCCCAGCACTTTAGGAAGCTGAGGAGGGCAGATCACAAGATCAGGAGTTCAAGACTAGCCTGGCCAACATGGTGAAACCCCGTCTCTACTAAAAATGCAAAAAAAAAAAAAAAAAAAAAAATTAGACATGCGTGGTAGCTGACGCCTGCAATCCCAGCCACTCAGGAGGCTGAGGCAGGAGAATTGCTTGAACCTGGGAGGTGGAGGTTGCAGTAAACCTAGATCGTGCCACTGCACGCAAGCCTGGGTGACAGAGCAAGACTCCATCTCGGAAAAAAAATTGTCTGTGAAATCTTATGATAGGGCAGATGCTGTTCCAGGAGTTTTACATTCATAACACATTTATTCCTCAAAGACAGGACTATCATCTGCACTTGAAAGAAGAGGAAATTGAGCCTCCAAGAGCTTAAGGGACTTGCCCAAGTCCCTTCTGCCTCAAAAGCCCAGGCTCTTCTCTATACACTACAGTCCATTAATGTGGCCACTATGTGTTGCACATAGTAGGAGGTCAGTACACATAGTGAAATAAAGGACACACATGCACCAAATTTAACCCTTCTGCTAGAAAAGCATTTAAAAACGCTTTTGAGAGTAAGAAAATGAAAGAAAGCATAGTAATATGATAGACAGGGCTCAGCAAAATAACTTCATCTCCAAATTCCAATAAAACACGAAACCTTTTCTCTTTCTGGTTTCATTGAAACAGCAATGCTGACATGGACTGTTTCTAATCCTGCCAGAGGCTGGCCCGTATCACATGTGGCTAAATGTAAGGTTTGGCATCTTCTGCAGACAACTGTAGGATTATTGGGGCCACTGTTCACAAAGTCAGCCCAGCAGAGGACACTAACAGACAAGTCACAGAAAGCAATACAAATGACTAAGAAATAGGAAATGCTGCATATGCAACTTGAGTAATTAAAGAATTGCAAGTTGAGATAAGGAGTTGCCACTTTTTTAACCTATTGATTTGGCAACAATTTTTACAAACTGGTAATACTTGTTATGGCCTCTCACTGTTGATAGAAATGTTAAGTGATACAACCTTTCCAGGAAGCCTTAAAAGTGTTTATACTTTTTGACTCATTATTTCCACTTTTTCTTTTTTATATATATATTTTTATTTTTTGAGACAGAGTCTCACTTTTGTTGCCCGGGCTGGAGTGCAATGGCATGATCTCGGCTCACGGCAACCTCCCAGGTTCACGATTCTCCTGCCTCAGCCTCTGAAGTAGCTGGGATTACAGGCATGCACCACCACACCCAGCTAATTATGTATTTTTAATAGAGACAGGGTTTGTCCATGTTGGTCAGTCTGGTCTCGAACTCCCGATCTCAGGTGATCCACCCACCTCCGTCTCCCAAAGTGCCCAAATAAGGGGTCATCATGCTGGGCCCATTATTTCCACGTTTAAGGATCTATCCAAAGGCCAGGCACAGTGGCTGATGCTTGTGATCCCAACACTTTGGGAGGCTGAGGTGGGCAGATCAGTTGAGCTCAGGAGTTTAAGACCAGCCTGGGCAACATGGTGAAACCCCATCTTTACTAAAAAAAAAAAAAAAAAAAAAAAAAAAAAAAAAAAAAATTACTGAAAATTAGCTGGGCATGGTAGTATGCACCTGAAGTCCCAGGTACCTGGGAGGCTGCGGTGGGAGAATCACCTGAGCTTGGGAAGTCAAGGCTGTAGTGAGCCATGATAACGTCACTGTACTCCAGCCTGGGCAACAAGTGAGACCTTGTCCCAAAAAGAAAAAAAAAAAGAATCTATCCAAGGAAAATAAATAATCAGATGTAAATATTTATGTACAAAAATGTTCACCAGTGTTATATAATTACAAAAATTAGAAAAACCTAAATAGTTAACAACAAAGGATTAGTTGAGTACTCTGTGCTCTATGATGTTTCTGTGTAGAAATACTATACATCTATAAAAAATGATACCTGCCCAGTACTGCCTGCCCGCCACTGCCCATCCAATGCCTGTCCCCAGACTGAGGCCCAACCCCCTTGCCCTTATCCATCAAAGGCATCGCCAGCATGTCTGACAAACTGCCCTACAAAGTTGGTGACATTGGCCTGGACACCTGGGGACACAAGGCCCTGGACATTGAGAATGAGATGCCGGCCCTGGTGGCCCTGTGGGAGCTGTACTTGCCCTCCAGTACACTGAAGAGCGCCCGCATTGCTGGCTGCCTGCAAATGACTGTGGAGATGGCCAACCTCATTGAGACTCTCATCTCCCTGGATGTTCAGGAGCAGTGGTCTAATTGCAACATCTTCTCCATCCAGGACCATGCAGCAGCTGCCTTTGCCAAGGCTGGCACGCCAGTGTTCACCTGGAAGGGCAAAATGAATGAGGAGTACCCGTGGTGCATTGAACAGACACTGTACTTAAAGGATGGACCCTTCAACATGATTCTGGATGATGGGGGTGACCTTACTAACCTCGTCCACACCAAGTACCCACAGCTTATGTCGGGCGTCTGAGGCATCTCTTAGGAATACCACAACCAGGGTCCACAACCTGTACAAGATCATGGCCAATGGAATCCTGAAGGTGCTTGCCATCAACATCACTGACTCTGTCACCAAGAGCAAAATTTCACAGCCTCTGTGGCTGCCAGGAGTCCCTCACTGATGAATAACATCAAGTGGGCCAAGACGTGATGATTGCCAGCCAGGTAGCAGTGGTAGCAGGCTATGGTGATGTGGGCGGGGCCTGTGCCCAGGCCCTGTGGGGTTTTGGGGCCCACATCATCATCACCGAGACTGACCCTGTCAGTGCACTGCAGGCTCCCATGGAAGGCTATGAGGTGACCACCACAGACGAGGCCTGTCAAGAGGGCAACATCTTTGTCACCACCACAGCCTGTCGACATCATCCTTAGCCAGCACTTTGAGCAGATGAAGGATGATGTCATCGTGTATAACACTGGATGCTTTGACATGGAGATCAGTGTCAGGTGGCTCAACAAGAATGTTGTGGAGAAGTTGAACATCAAGCCCCAGGTGGACCAGTGCTGGCAGAAGAATGGGTGCCACATTGTCCTGCTGGCTGAGGGTTGGCTGGTCAGCCTGGGTTGTGTCATGGGCTGCCCCAGCTTCGTGGTGAGTAACTCCTTCATCAACCAGGTGATGGTGCAGATTAAGCTGTGAACCCACTCAGACAAGTACCCCATTGGGGTTCACTTCCTGCCCAAGAAGCTGCATGACGCAGTGGCTGAAGCTCCCCTGGGCAAGCTGAATGTGAAATTGACCAAGCTGACTGAGAAGCAAGCCCAATAGCTGGGCATGTCCCGTGATGGCCCCTTCAAGCCAGATCATTACTGCTGCTGAGAGCCAGGCCTGCCCTTCACCTGCCAGCTGCTGTCTTTGTTCAGGCCCTGCCTCTCCTCCCTAAAAGTGAATGGCACCAATTTTGCGATTTGTTTGTTGGTGTCCCCCATCGACTTCCTGGGGCTGGTCACTCAGTTTTTGGCCTCTGCAGCATCCCTCACACTGTGTCAAGTGTGGCAGGGGGAATTGAGAGGCCCCTCCTCAAGCCCTGGTCGTGATGGAGATACAAGGGAGGCATCCACAGGGAATCATGAGCTGAGTGGTCTTGGAATTGCTCAGTAAGTCAGTCCTTCCTAAGTTTGGAAGTTGGTAGTGGAGTCACAAAGCCCGTGTACCTTACCTTTCAGGTAAACTTCCTGGTCTGTGGACTTAGATTTGTGTGCTTGGTTTACAGGGTCAGTGGTTCCTCAGCCCATGACAGATGAGAAGGAGCTATATTGAAGGGCAAAGAGGAACTGTGGTTTGAATTTTCTTGAGAGCCTGGCTTAGGGCTGGGCTTTCTCTTAAACCTCATAACAATGAGGTTGGTACTTTTAGTCCCTGTTTATAGGGGTTAGAATAGACTGTTAAGGGATAACTGAGAAAGGACAGAGAAGTGACAGCCAGAGGGGCCATAAAAACATAAAAGCAGGCATAGATCAGCTACCACTTTGTAACAAGATGGTTCCTGTCACAACCCTGGGTCAAAAAGAGAATGATTTGGTTTATAATGTTAAAAGAAAGTGGGAAGGTGAGTAAATAAAAACTTTGGTGCCTAAAAAATTAAAGATGATACTCATAGCCAGGCACAGTGACTCATGCTTGTAATCCCATTTTGGGAGGCCCAGGTGGGCAGATTGCTTGAGCTCAGGAGTTTGAGACCAGCCTGGGCAAAATGGCAAAACCCCATCTCTACCAAAAATACAAAAAATTCGCCTAGCGTGGTGGTTGCACCTGGAGTTCCAGCTACTCTAAGAGGCTGAGGTGGGAAGATCACTTAAACCCGGGAAGTGGGGGTTGCAGTGAGAGGAGATGATGCCACTGCACTCCAGCCTGGGTGACAGAGTAAGACACTGTCTCAAAAAAAAAAAAAAAATACTTATGAAGGAAATTCTTACAATATAAAATTGTGGAAGAAATTGTTAATATAACTATTTATACCATGACCCCCAATTATGTAAATGATAAAAGACCGAAAGGAAATACACCCAAATGTTAACATTCTTTGTTTCTCAGTGACTGCATTATGGATATTTAGCTTTTTCTCCTTCATAGTTTTCTACATTTTCCAATTTTCTTTATAGTGAGCACTTATTACTCTCAAAACCAATAACAGTCAACAATAGAATTCATTTGAATCTGGGGATATGTCTGCCAATCACATCCCTGACCTGCCCTCACGGTCTCGAGATGATGAGAGGAAGAAAGACTCAAGCTGTAAACCCACATTAAATGCACGGCACCATCCCCACACAATGAAGCTAAATGTTGAAATCCTGCTTCAAAAGCCCGCTGATGCTAAAATAAGCCCAGAAAAGCATTTGCTGCAGTTCTTGGAGATCTGTTGAAGGACGTCATTCACAGTGGGCACCAAGTCAAACCCTCGCTCGTCATCAGTGCTGGCTGCAATACAAAGAATTTGAACCATTTAGGGGACGAATAGGATTGGAGCTTCACAAATAACTATCCCTTAGGTTGCTATAATTGTAATAAAGGGGATTACTGACAGGTGCACAGCATAGTGCTTTCCCAGCCATCATCTCATTTGAACTTGGCAACAACCCTAGAGGAAAGATGCTGGTAGTAACAACAAAAATAACAACAACGATGGAGACTTAACATTTGCTGAGTACTTACTATGTGACAGGAATCAATTCTAAACACTTCACATACATTATGCCTTTTAATTAAAAATCAAAAACAAAACAAAACAAATACAGGGACTTGGTCTGTCACCCAGGCTAGAATGCAGTGACATAATCATAGCTCACTGTAGCCTCAAATTCCTGAGCTCAAGTGATCCTCCTGCCTCAGCCTCCCGAGTAGCTGGGCTCCAGATGCACATTATCTTTTAAAATTTTTTTGTAGAGATGGGGTACCGCTATGTTGCCCAGGTCTTGAACTCCTGGCCTCAAGCAATCTTACCCTCAGCCTCCCAAAGTGTTGGGATTTCAAGCTTGAACCACTGTGCATTCCCCTTTTAATCTTTTTAGTCTTATCTGTGAAGTAGAGAGAGTGATTACTCCCACTTTACAAGCCAGTGTGTTGTCACTCAAAGTAGTCAAATGACTTGTCCAAGATAACCACGCTAACAAATGAAAAAATAGAATTTGTAGTCATTTATTTAGACCTCAGGTCCAGATTTCCACACCTGCCTAATGTACTTCCTCAGCTTTGAGTATTTTTTGTTGCTATTGTTATCAGGGGAGACAGTAGTTTAGCAGTAAAGAATGCTGGGTTCAAATCTGGTCTTTCTAGCTGTGTAATCTTGGACAAGTTACTTTAGCTCTGTGTCTTGATTTCATTCTCTGTAAAATGGGGATCATAATATTTATCTCATTGGCCTCAAGGTCAAATGAATATAAAGCATCGAGCCAAAACTCTGCCCCATACTGAACACTCATTAAGACATTAGGCTGGGCGCAGTGGCTCACACCTGTAATCCCAGCACTTTGGGAGGCCGAGGCGGGTGGATCACGATGTCAGTAGATTGAGACCATCCTGGCCAACATGGTGAAGTCCCATCTCTACTAAAAATACAAAAATTAGCCGGGTGTGGTGGCAGGTGCCTGTAGTCCCAGCTACTTGGGAGGCTGAAGCAGGAGAATCGCTTGAACCTGGGAGGCGGAGGTTGCAGTGAGCTGAGATCATGTCACCGCACTCCAGCCTGGAAACAGAGCAAAACTCCGTCTCAAAAAAAAAAAAAAAAAAAGACCTTGGTACATGTCTGATTTTCCTATACCTTGCCTTCTCAAGGTCAAGGTATACCTTGCCTTCTCAAGGGTCAAGGTCAAGAGGGCACAATGTCCTTGGGTTCAATGCCCAGAACTTCTAGATTTTCAGAAGAGTCACACTCTCTGAATTCCGTGGCCTCAGCCCTTTTGAAGAGCCTCCTTTGCTGGATTGTGTGCCTGTCAGATGGTACCTTCTAGAACTAAGAGAGTACTTAGCAGGAATGAGCACTTGACTCCTTCTGAGAAATCCTTAGGCCTTTATGACTATGATGCCTTTTGTTGAACTATTTTAAGGTAGCTGTGTTTACTTTATGCTGACTTCTAGGGGCTGGATAATAAGGAAATTCAGTTCTAAAAGAGCAACTGTTTCCCTAAGAAGACCACAGAAACAGCATCTATCAGAGCCAGAAGGGGACTTGGCCTCAGCCCCTTCAAATACGTCCTTGTACAGATAATTAACCAAGAACCACAGAAGTAAAGCATCTTGATAAGATTCCACATGGTCGAGAGCCAGGGTCATATTCAAACCCTCTGACTCCAAGGCCTCCATTAGACCCAAATCAGTCCTTACAGAGGAGACAGCTAAGAGCCAATGAGAGGCCTAGAGTCTACTGGCTGGACACTGATGGGCCTTCCTATCTCTGACTCTGGTCCAAGGCTCTCTTCATGTCTCCAGTCTCCCTCTCCAGGAACTTCCCTCCTAGAATCACAGAAATGGCACCCTGCTGCCAGCTTCTTATCAATGACCAAGGCAAGATTTTAAATAATGACAATAATCAGGACCTGTTCTCAGGCAGCAGTCGGGACCTTAGGAATTACAGAATCTTCCAAATTAGGTCACATTCATGTAAAGGAATTAGAAACATCTTTCCCATTTCATCAAGCCCAAATTAGAACAGCCTCTACAGAGGGTCCTAGTAGATCACTCCTCCTCTCAGGTCCATGGGTCTGATTCCCCTTCTCAAATAGCCACTGCACTTTTCTTATGACTATGGAGTGTTTATCAGGTGTGTGCAATGCCTCAAGGGCAGTCTGGAATTTGGAACTGGATGTAATCTTTAGCCACATACTGGCAGCATGATCTCTTTAAAAGGCAGGAACTGGTCATCTCTGCCATCCAGTCTCATGTTGGGGAATTAGTCTATGAATCAGCCAAGATGGGTTCCCAGCCCACTGTCTATCTTCCTTCAAGGCAAAATGGTCTAGTGGGAAGAGTCTGCAACCTAGTCAGCCTGGCTGCACTACTTCAGCTTATGTTACTTGGAGCAAGAAGCAAACATTTTAAGCTTCAGTTTTGTCATCTGTAAAATAAGCATACAATACCTGGTCTACCTCTTGTGTTTCTAGGAGGATTCATTCATTCATTCATTCATTCAGCAGAAATGTATTAAGCACTGATCTAGAGATACCCTGTTGAACAAGACAACAAAAAAGGTGCATACAATATAGTAAGATAATCAATTAACAAATAAATTGGTAAATAATCAACATTTTTTTTTTTTTTTTGAGACGGAGTTTCGCTCTTGTTACCCAGGCTGGAGTGCAATGGCGCGATCTCGGCTCACCACAACCTCCGCCTCCCGGGTTCAGGCAATTCTCCTGCCTCAGCCTCCTGAGTAGCTGGGATTACAGGCATGCGCCACCATGCCCAGCTAATTTTTTGTAGTTTTAGTAGAGACGGGGTTTCACCATGTTGACCAGGTTGGTCTCGATCTCTTGACCTCGTGATCCACCCGCCTTGGCCTCCCACAGTGCTGGGATTACAGGCTTGAGCCACCGCGCCCGGCAATAATCAAGATATTTATAGATTAAGCAAATGCTACAGGGAGATCAAATGGTGCTGTAACACAGAATAATATACCTTTAGGGTGATCAAGGAAAGCCTCGCTGAGATGTGACATTCAGCCTGAAAGCAAAAGGCGACAACTCTACCAAAACTGGAAGAAACAGCAAGGGCAAGACTTTGCAGAGGGAAAGGAACAGAAAGGAAACCAGAACGGGTGAGACGTGTTAAGTGGAGAGAGTGGTACAAGCTAGATAGTGCAGGACGCCGTAGCCAAGGAAGAAGACTGGGCCTCATTCTAGGAAGTCAGGGAGCATTTTAAGCAGGGAGATGAGGGCAGATTATAGAGCACAGGCAGCAGCCAGAAGGCTGGGTTGCCCAGGTATGAGAAGTTGGTGGCCTGGACTGGCTTAGAGGAAGATCTAGGATCTGTTTTAGAAGTGGAATTGTCAAGACTTGCTGTTCAACTGGGTGTGGGGTGAAGGAGAGACAGAAATAAAAAGTTATTCCTAGATTTTAGAATCTATGGGGCCACTCACTCATTCATTCAACAAACATCAATTAAGCACATATATCTGCCTGTCTCTGTGCATGGTGTTGGGGATAAAGATGGAGAAGAAGATCACAGCTTTGTCAGGGAAATAGACCAGAAAGTAGGCAAATATAATGCATTCAAGTAAGTGCGGTAAATATTGGAGAACACCAACTCTGCTGAGGGGAAAGAATCAAAGAAAAGTCTTCCTAGGGAGGGGAGTTTTATCTAAGCCTTGAAGGAACAACAGGAATAGGAGACGGGCTTTGGGGTTATAAAACAGAGCTCTAAAATAATAACAACAGTAGCAGCAGCAGCAGTAGTAGTGGCAGCTGATATTTGTTAAGCCCCAACAATGAGCTAGGTCCTGTAATAAGCACAAATGAATAATTTAATTTTCACATAAGAATTCTATGAGGTAGTTCCTATTACTCTCATCCCCACTTTACAGATGAGGAAGCTGAGGGACAGTTAACCTCTGTTACATCACTTGCCTCAGATCACAAAA